AAGTGAGGAAAAGAAAGCACAATCACAGTCATTTGATTTCCCACTTTAGGAAACACTTCACTTAGGGACAGAGATGTTGGTTACATCTCAAGGGCAACTTGTATAATGCCTTGATACTTGTTTCCCTACTTGACCAAATACAACTGAAGCTGGGGACAGAACAGTGGTGAAATCTAAAATTTGTTACTACCAGTTCTGTGGGCGTGGCTTGGTGGGGGGGGGTAATGTGACTGGGTGGGCGTGGCCAATTTTTTTTTCTTTTAAAACCATTTTTTTCTACAACCTCTTTGGTGAAGAGGTTGTAAAAAATGCTTTCAAAAGGCTCTGACGATCCCAGCTGAGTTGCCTGATCAGCAGAGGCTTTTTTTCTTTTAAAAGCCTCTGACAATCCAAGCTGAGCCGTGCGATCATCAGAGGCTTTTTTTTTTTTTTACTTTTAAAAGCATTTTTTCAGCTGAAGAGCTTGTAGAAAAAATGCTTTTAAAAGTAAAAAAAAAAAGCCTCTGATGATTGTGCGGCTCAGCTGGGCATTGGGGGGGGCAGGGATTTTTGCTACCGGTTCTCCGAACCACCTGCCTCCATCGCTACCAGATCGGGCGATCCGGTCCGAATTGGGAGCATTTCACCTCTGTGACGGAACAAATGTTTATCACTGTGCTAAAGTAATTCAAACTTAGTCATTTGTAAGAAAGGTAAATAAAAAGTGATTACTTTGGCAAAAAGTACAGCAGCATGTTTATTCATCTCTACAATTGCCTCTCCAATGAAGAGTAAGGCCCACTAGCTTTATGATTTCCAAGTTAATTATTTGTAATTGTACCTCTCCAGTTATGTATTCATGTCTCCTAATACTCTAGCCCAATGTTTACAGTGACAAAATGTCAGGATAACTAAATTGATATGGCAATTTTAATTTTAAAGGTACAAAAAAGATGAAGAGATTGTGAAGACAAAGGATATACCCAAAATGGCCTCCTGCTTATTTTCTTCAATGACTGATTATTAAGGACATGTGTAATTGCAAGAACTGCAGGCAGCAAATAAACTTTCCCTTTCCTGGCATTACAGCAAAAATGCTATAATGAGGGGAAAAAAGCGTAAAGCCTTGTAAACAGATGTGATTGCGAGAACAAAATGCTTCTACTAATTTATCCTTTTTTGTACCAAAATACACCCAGTACAAGTAGCAAGCATAAAACCAACAATCCATTATACATCAAGATTGCATGTAAGGCATGGTAAGCAGGGGTGGGTTCTAAATTTTTTTACTACCGGTTCTGTGGGCGTGGCTTATTTTGTGGGTGTGGCTTGGAGGTCATGTGACTAGGTGGGCGTGGCTAGCTGGTCAGAGTCATTTCTGGAAGGTCCTCACACTTATGACCAGTCCTCACACTTACGACCCGACTCATTTGTTTGCTTTTAACACTGATCAGCTGTAGGACGGCCCTTTGAAGCCCCGCGGCAAGAGTTTAAACAGTTTTTTTCCCTCTAGTCATCAGCTGGGACTCAGGAGGCAGCGATAGATTGGGGGTGGGACCAAATAAAAGGTAAGAATAACATGGGGGGTGGGGGGTGGGAGGGCAGGGGGGAGAACTGGTTCAGTGACGTCATATCGTCACTGCTACCGGCTCGGCTGAACCGGACCGAACCGGGAGGAACCCACCACTGATGGTAAGTGTAAATAAATACCACTTTATTAACTAGAGTAAAAATGTTGTCCCATTCTCACCAGTTTTGAACTGGATGGAATTTATTTTAAGTTCCCAGTTAGAAAATCGATTTCTGACTTATAGGAAAAAAGAGTATAAAGTTAACCTTCTATGTTTTTCACAAATGTGATATTTTCCCCCCTTCATTTTGTTGGTGTATAACAACAATAAGGGGTATGTCTGTGCATCCAGTTCTCATATTCTCATACATACATGTATGTTTAGATGTAGTTTAGTTTAATATGTTCAGTATGTATGTTTACACACATATTTTTTTATTATTATAAGCTACCTGCATCCTTTGAATAGTCTGTCTACTGAGATCCAGATGTTCTTCATATTTTAGCATTTAGGAAGGTGATGAAGACTGTGGTTTTCCACTAAATGTTTGAAGCTGAAAATTTTAGACCTGTGAGACTAGGTCTAGGTCACCATATCTAAAGGCAACACAGGCATATAAGAAGGGTGGACAAAACCAGGAAGGAAACAAGTCACTAAGGGAACAAAAGGATTAAAAAAGTTGGGACCAAGTACAGGGAAAGACTCCTCCCCGAACCCCACAAACTATGCAAGGACTTTGGGAGATAAAAGGGGCCCTGAAGCCACCTACACCTTGGGTCGTTTCTGGATCCAGACTTGGTGGCTTCCATCCCTCAGGCTAGTGCCTGGCAGCCTAACTGATAAGTGTGGATGAGACATAAGTGTGTATGTGACAGAGGAAATAGATATTTATTTATTTTATTTATTTATTTGGTCAAATTTATATGCCGCCCTTCTCCCGAAGGACTTGGGCGGCTCACAAAGGATTAAAACCATAGAACAGTAAAAATAAATTAATTTAGATAAATTAAAAATACAAAAATTAAAACCCATATTAAAACCAAACTAAAAACACCCCGCAGGTCAGGCGATTTGTTTAAAAAGCCACATCTTTAGGTCCTTGTGGAAGGAGCGGAGGTCGGGAGCCGTGCAGAGCCCGGTGGGTAAACCATTCCAGAGGGTCGGCGCGCTCACAGAGAACGCCCTCATCCTGGGTGCCATCAGCCAACATTGCCTGGCCATCAGCACCCAGAGGAGGGCTGCCCTATGCGAGCACGCTGGTCGGTGAGAGGCTGGCAGTAGGTGCTCTGCAAGTACCCCGGGCCCATGCCATGAAGGGCTTTATAGGTAAGCACCAGCACTTTGAAGATATGCTTTATAATCTGTAAAGTTTGTTGTTATTTTATTGTTATTCACCAGATCTCTGTGTATTCTAAAGAACCATTTATGCCTCAGTGTTCGGTTGAAAGTAATTTGAGTGTGGCAATTTTCAAGGGCTGTGAGCGTGTGAGTGAGCGATCATAAGCTGAACCTGAGAGCACATGTTTGTGACAGTGCTGGACTGTTTATAATTTTATATTGTTATAGCAATAGCACTTAGATTTATATATTGCTTTACAGTGCTTTACAGCCCTCTCTAAGCAGTTTACAGAGTCAACATATTGCGCCCAACAATTTGGGTCTTCATTTTATCTACCTCAGAAGGATGGAAGTCTGAGTCAAACTTGAGTCTGGTGAGATTTGAACTGCCAAATTGCAGGCAGCCGACAGTCAGCAGAAGTAGCCTGCAGTACTGCACTCTAACCACTGCGCCACCATGACTCATATAAATGGTGGTGCAGTGGTTAGAATGCAGTAATGCAGGCTAATTCTGCTGACTGCCAATTACCAGCAGTTTGACAGTTCAGTTCTCACCAACTCAAGGTTGACTCAGCCTTCCATCCTTTTGAGGTTGAGAAAATGAGGACCCAGATTGTTGAGGACAATATGCTGACTCTGTAAACCACTTGGAGAGACTATAAAACACTGTGAAGCAGTATATAAGTCTAAGTGCTATTTGCTATTATTCAAATTAACTTTTTTTTTTTTTACTCCTTCCTATTTCAGTTACAATTTTAGTTTTGACTTCGGTTATACAGGCACTTGAATTTGTTGCTTTGGGAAGTATGATTTTATGTGAACCGCCCAGAGTTCAACAGATGGAAATGGGACATAAATTATACGTAGATAGCTGGATGATAAAGTTATAACTCTGTATACATGCATTAGAGAAAGACAGAGAGAAGAAGAAAGATTCCTGTCTTAGCTTCTAATTTTGGCAGACTGTCCCCTTGGCAGAATTATTTTTCTGGACAAATGGAAGAGTTTACAAATACAGGTTGTCCTCAACTTAAGACAATTAAGGCCAAAATTTATGTTGTAAAGTAAGAAATATGTTAACTGAGTTTTGCCCCATTTTACGAATTTTCTTGCGTTGTTTGTTAAGTGAATCACTGCAGTTGTTAAATTAGTTACACAGTTGTTAAGTCAATCTAGTTTCCCCATTGACTTTGCTTGTCAGAAGTTTGCAAAAGGGGATCACATGACATTGCAACAATCATAAATATGAGTCAGTAATGTAAATCACAGTGATGCGGTGACTCAGTGGCTAAAATGCTGAGCTTATCGATTGAAAGGTCGGTAGTTCAGCGGTTCGAATCCCTAGTGTTGCGTAATGGGGTGAGCTCCTGTTACTTGTCCCAGCTTCTGCCAACCTAGCAGTTCAAAAGCACATAAAAAATGCAAGTAGAAAAATCACATGACCATGGGGATGCTACAACGATCATAAGTGTGAAAAATGGTCGTAAGTCACTTTTTTCAGTGCTGTTGTAAATTTGAATGGTCACTAAATGACTTGTCCTAAGTTAAGGACTATCTATATCGACGACCATCTATGGTATGACTAATCCATAGCTTTGAGAATGTCATCTAATTTGGCTTCTTTAAAAACATATTTCCCATAAGTGATCATAGTCCAGTTTTTTTCTATGTATAAACATATGATTTACAAAGAAAAAAATTGAAGAAAGGACTGCAGAGGTGCGATAAAAAAAATTGTTGGGAGGTAAACTTCAATGTTTCTGCTGCTGAGCATACTTTTTATGGTGCATAGACAAGTTGCAGGAGGTGAAAATCAGATAGCAGTTAAAGAAGTCCCAGGAATGTGTTCCTCAATTCAAATCCTAGATCTCAAATTAAAGCAAAGCTTCTTGCAAAGCTTTCCAAATTATAGGAACAGTAACTTAGAGCTGTCATTTAATTAAATCCTGTCTCCCGTGGCCATGATGATTTATAGCGCTTGCTCTGACACCCAAATTAAGAAAGACAAATCATCCACCATCTCCTTCTTGAGCTGATAAGTGGTGCAGATTCTCTTCATTTCCCACCAGTGCACCCTCCCATCCTCAACTTTCTCCACAAAATGAAGAGCCATTTTACACATTCGGTGTTATATTTTAACATCAGAGAAATTGAGAATGTATCACTTAAGACATTCAGGGTTAAATTACAAACAAGGAAAGAATAGCAACAGTTGTCTTGTTTTGTTTAAAAGCTGAAACTGAGAAGATATAGCTGGCCGAGAAGATACAGCTATAATGTCTTTAAAACATCAGAAATCAGAAAATACCAGCTTTCTTGTATAGTTATGGGTTCCTGTGCAAATATCAAACAGATAATTGTTCCTCCTGTTATGTTTTGAGCCAGGGGTAGAACACTATGATTTTCAGACATGTAAGTTTATATTACATTTTTAAAAAGGAGTGTGGTAGCCTTGAAGTTAAGATTCCGGGTTTGTTGACCAGAAGGTTGGCAGTTCGAGATCCAAGCACTGTGTGATGGGGTTGGCTCCCATTCTTGCCCCAGCTCCTGCCAACCTAGCAATTTGAAAGTATGCTCACCTCATATTATGACCCAGGTGGTCACGGTTCGGCAGGCTTCCAGAGAGTTCTCTATTTCTCTTGGGAATGGTTAAACAAATGGCCCTCCACCGACCAGTAAGGCTCCACCCTCAGTCCTCCAAACAACAGCCCATAGATTACCCGGCAAGTCCACAAGGCAAAAGTCCAGGCATAAGACGAAGGCAGTTTCGAAGGCAAAGTCTTCAGGGCTAGGGCAAGACAAACAACAGGCCATAAAACAAAGGGGTGTCCAACGCAAAAGCAGTTCCAAGGGCAAAGTCTTCAAGGCTAGGGTAAGACAAGAACAGTCCTCAAAGCAAGGCAAAGCAATCTTCAAAGCAAGGCAAACAACATCCTCGAAGCAAGGCAAAAGGTCTGAGTCAAAGCCAGGGAAGTGTAATCCTAAAACAAACACTTGTTCCTGGCAAAAGCCTCCTCCTCACGGCCTCTCCTTAAATTCTACTCTCCAGGTGAACCTCATGAGGAGGGGCAGGGTGTCCTCCTCCCAAATAATCGGTTCACCCTGTGCTGACTTGCCTCCTCTTCATTTTCTGCGTTCACGGATAAAGCAGGGGGGAGGCATTTGTTCATCTCTGGAGCTCTGTGACTCTGCCGCTCCACGCTGCCTGCACCGTCTCTTCTTCCCTACCTAGTCTTCCAAGGCCCGAGGGATCCGGGACTGTCTCGTCCTTGTCCCCAGGTGGTTCCTCATGGGCCATAGGGACTACGCCATCCCTCTCCATCAGCTCAGGCTCCCACTCCTCCTCTGCCTCGGACCCTGGCTCCGACAGGGCCATGACACCCCAGTGTATAGTCATGCCAGCCACATGATCATGGAAGCATCTTTCTAGTTCTCTTGACTAGGAAACAGTGATGAGCACTGTCCCCTAGGGTCAGACACAACTGCACAGGAGAAACTTTTACCTTTTTATTACATTTTTAGTACAAGAAGGCACATGGTGCTTTTTTGTATATATATATATATATATATATATATATATATATATTTACCACAAATTTCTTATGAGCTAGGTTGATCTGAGAGCGACTGGCCCAAGGTCACTCATTGAATTTTCATGGTTAAGGTTGATCACAACCTGTGTCTCCCTAGTACCCATCAAACACTTTAACCGCTACGCTATATTGGTTCTCTAGAATTCTCCAGTCCCGTATAAACTGAAGCATAGAGAGCTGTGGTTTAGCTGTTTAATCATCTACATGATTGATAACTAGCAGGGTGGCTCAGCAGACTGATAGCATTGTGATTAACACCAGCTGTCTGCAATTACTGTAAGTTCGAATCTCACCGGGCTCAAAGTTGACTCAGCCTTCCATCCTTTCTAAGTGTTCTGTCCCCAACCCAACGCACACACACCAACAGACGTTCAAGAGTGAAAGACCAAACCAGCCGGCAAAATTCTTTTCCTTATGATAACGGAACTTGGCAATAACCTAGTGGCTGCCTGCCAAGAGTTTATTATTTACAAAGAGGAGAGATAACTTCTCCCCACTTCTGATACATCAAAAGAAACAGCTCAATAATTACAGAGTCAATCAAGTCCAGAGATAATCCAGCAAAGTCTATAGCCAAAAGTCCGGCAATGCAAAATGGCGTGGAAGCTTTCAGCTTTGTTCGTCACAAGGTTTGACTGGCCACCACGCTCCCTTTTATATCCTGTGGGGTGTGGTCCAGTGACTCAGCCTAATCTCGGGCACACCTTTTCTTCTGTTGCGTGCGCTTATCTCTGCGACGCTGGCGTGGATCGAGCCAAGACTTATTACCCTCATCACTGTCCATCTGTGGCTGCATGGACGTGCTTGGCCCCGGCCCTATCTCTTGCCCTTTGGCGAACACCGAAGGCATTGCCAGAGAGGAGGGTCCTGGAGAGGGAGGCCTTGCCAACTCCTTTCCTTCACTCTCGGAGTCCTTTCCTGCCGATGACACAGGCTCAGATAACGGAGCCACAACACTAAGGTAGGTAAATTGAGGACCCAGTTTGTGGGGGCAATAAGCTGACTTTGTATAAATATACAAAAGTATGAAGGCTTGTAAACTGCCCTGAGTCCCCAGAGAAGGGCAGCATATAAATCATTTTTTTTTAAAAAAAAAATTGTAGTTAAGTCATGGAAGAACAATTTGCAATCCTAACAAAGACGTATCATGCAAACCCTCCTTTGTGCCTCCCACCAAATCTACCATAATGTTGAGGGTGGAATCTGAACAATATTAATTATGGAATCCATTTAGAAACAGATGCCCAGTAACTATGAGAAAATATATTTGAGCAGCTGGCTGATTGGGCACCAAATGAGCCAGGGGTCATGAAGTTTGGCCTGAAATTGCTGGAAGCAGAAAGAGCTAACAAAAATCCATAGGAGCTTCAGGCCCTTTCTTCTGAGTGCATGTCACCGAGTTTAATCCCTGTTAAAATAATCTGAGGAAGAAGAAAAGGATAACATGAAATAGCTAGATAACTGAGCTCGGATTTATAATATTCAATTTAGCTAAAACATATAAAGAACGGTTGCTGGAACTGGGTAGGTATAGTTTAATGAAAAAAAGGACTAGGGGTGACATGATAGAAATGTTCCAATATCTAAGGGGCTGCCCAAAAAAAGAGGGAGTCAACCTATCCTCCAAAGCACCTGAAGGCAGAAGAAGCCTGCCTCTGTTATTCTGTTATTCTGTTAAGTATTGTCTGAGGAAGCTAATAGGGCATGAAAAACTGAAGGTGGCTTTCTTTGGACACTGTTGAAAGCAGGCTTAAATGAACTTCATGTTTTCCCAATGGGATGTCTATGGTGTGTACTGGGAATTTCTTTATATAACCATTCAGGAATTATACCATCAGACTGAGATGCAGTGAACAACCTATAGTTGAAGATGGTCTGAACATCTACACCTAATGGCACTACTGTGACTAGATCAATTCAAAAGGTACATATCTCTCTATATACTATAATGTCTCTCTCTCTCTCCCTCCCTCTCCCTCTCTCTCTCTGTCTGTCTCTGTGTGTGTGTGTGTGTGTGTGTGTGTGTGTGTGTGTGTGTGCGCGCGCGCGTGCGTGTATGGGTGTGTGTGAACCTTTGGTAGATGATATATCCAGTGGTGGGATTCAAATAATTTAACAACCGGTTCTCTGCCCTAATGACTGGCTGGGTGGGCGTGGCCATGGTGGGTGTGGCCAGGAGGTGTGACAGGCAGCATTCGGCCTCCTGTACTCCCCTGGGATTAAAAATGGGGTACGGGGGGGACGCATGCCCCCCACACCCCATTTTTGGCCTAGGAGGCCTCCCTGCACTTACCTGGGAGCCAAAATGGGGTGCGTGGGGACTCCTGGAAGGGGCGGGGCAGAAAGGGGCAGAGCCAGCCAGCAATTTAACTACCAGTTCACCTGAACCATCCCGAACTGGCTGAATCCCACCACTGGATATATCCACAAAAAACAGAGAAGACAATTTCCCAGAATAGCTGGACTTCTTTGTGGCAGATACCCACCCATAAGATGCGATATGGCACTGGGGACCTCCCTAGATAGAATTTGTGTTTGCTGTGTTCAAGAGAAACATAACTCCTAAAGGAGCATTTTGGAGATTGAGCCAAAAGCCCCTACCCGAAATATAATCTCCCAGGGAAACTACACCATCAGATCAACCATCAGATACATAGGAGGCCAAGGAGCACTGGTAAATTGGGAAAAGATATGAAGATGTGAGCAGAGCTTTCAGAAAGATAAAGAAAGTAATTCCTCACTATATTCATGAAATATTGTCTCTTTGTTCTTTCAGAACCCCGGGCTTTTATCATCCTATATCCTAATGGCCTTGCTGATTTCAGTTTATGATGTGCTAAATCCAGTTAAATAGCAATTGCACTTAGACTTATATACCTCTTCACGGTGCTTTACAGCACTCTCTAAACAGTTTACAGAGTAAGCATATTGTGCCCACAATCTGGATCCTCATTTTATTGACCTTGGAAGGATGGAAGACTGAGTCAACCTTGAGCCAGTCAGGATCAACCTCCTGGCTGTGAGCAGAGTTAGCCTGCAATGCTCCATTCTAACCACTGTGCCACCATAGCTCCTAATACTTGACGTGGTCAACCAAATACTTTTCTGCTATCTTCAATGACATTATGCTCTAATTTGACAAATTTATAAAGAGATATAGTAACTCCTCCTCTCTTTAGGCCTGTATTTGCCTCCAGCACTATCGATAAACTAATTTGTGCTCCAGTGTAATTGTGTCCTGGTCTCCAGTTCAAACATCCCCAGAGAAAATTCTCTTATGTGTCAATACTTCCACCAGCTCTGTGTGCAAAGATAGGTATTGCAAGGGATGGAGTAAGAAATGCTATGCATTATCCCTCCCCGCCCCCCCAGGCCCCCTTCCATGTTCATTTTCAATGATCCATCCTGCCTATGCTAGTAGAAGTTCTTTATCTTTAGAAAGATAAAAGTCAGGAATTTACAGCCTAGAGAGGGTTGTTTTTTGTTTTTTTTTTTGTTTTTTTGGTTCTTGAAGAATGGAGCTGGCTGGAGTGAAGAGATGCTGTGTGACATGTTGTTTCTTTGTGGAAGAAGCTGACAGTTTTTTTTCCTGTAAGGCAATGAGCTAAAACACAGAGAATCTAAAGAAGAAAAAAAAAAGCAGCTGAGCTGAATGTGTCTGTAGCAACTATAGCATGGAGATAAGATGCCATCATGATCAGGAGAAGATTTGGTGGCGGTCAAACAGTCAGGGCCTAACACAGCCCAATAGAAGCAGGCCTTTAGGCCAAGAATCTTCTAACAAAGTTGGCATGGGAGGTCATACGTATTTTCCAGTGGATAGGCCACTGAAAACACTTTGTGGCTATAAATAGTACAGTGACTGTAAAAGGTTCTTGAGCAGATGATTGTAGAGGAACATGTAACCAACCAAGAGGCGTTCGCAGAACAGATCCTGTAGAATTGGCTACAAGTGGCAATGACCCATCAAAGAAGTTCAGTAGCACAGAGTCACTGCCAGGAGCGTCACAGGCTAAGACTGGCTGGGGCTTCCTAGGAGTGTGCAGCGTAAAGTAAAAGGCAAAAGTAAGAGCAGAGAAGAGCTAATAATAGGCCCGTAGGTCAGTGGTAGGTTTCAAAAATTTTTACTACTGATTCTGTGGGTGTGGCTTGGAGGGCATGGCATGGCTTGGTGGGTGTGGAAGGGGAAGGATACTGTAAAATCTCCATTCCCTCCCCCATCCAGGGGAAGGTTACTGCAAAATCCCCATTTCCTCCCGATCAGCTGGGACTTGGGAGGCAGAGAATAGATGGGGATGGGGCCAGTCAGAATTTTTACTACCGGTTCTCTGAACTACTCAAAATTTCCACTACCGGTTCTCCAGAACTGGTCAGAACCTCCTGAAACCCACCTCTGCCGTAGGTGGAGTAAATCTCATCAAGCCTTTAGCTAGAGTCAATCCTAATGCTTCACAGAGGAAATTTGGAGAGAACATGATGAGGGAATTATGCTACCGTCCTGTAATTAAAGTGCCAAAAAGCTGTCCAATTCACGGGGCTTCTCCACTCGTCTGGTTCTGTGCGATACCATCCCCAGTTACTCTCCGTCATGTAAGATAAAGTCTAGGTAGAGATTACCAGCTGGAGGGAGGCAGCTTCCGCAGCTCATCCAGGAGGATCAGCTGATGATTCATCACTGGAACTAATGGCAGAAATGCTTCCCTAATAGCTGGAAATCATCTTGCATGAGAAATTAGATGCCCATAAAAGATTGGAGGAAATGACCTGTTAAACAGAAGAAAGAGGCAAAGAAACAACAGAAGCAGATGGTAGCTTGAATCATGAATCTAAGAGGAAGCTGAGAAAAGATAAGGTGAAGCTGGGATGCAACCTTAAAGGGTTGCAGTTGGTTGAGAAGTCCTGGGGTATTTGAAGAAGGCCAGGCGTTCCACCTTAGGAGAACATTTCACCATGAACAAAAGAGGATTTTTTTTAAAAAAAAAATTAACAATAGGCAAAGAACTAATTCAAATTCTGCTATGTTCCTCCCTTCACCACCATCCCAAAGCACAAATTAAAAATATGCCAGACTGATACCATAAGTAGGAAATGACAAGAGCACATACCTCTCAGTGCTAATGGGGAGTTTTCTCACTCTCTCACTTGTTCTGCTGCTTCCATCTGCAGGAAAAGTGGGGGGGGAATCTAGAGCATAAAGGGAAGGAAAATGCCCATTGGTAGTTTCCTTGGAGACAAAAGAATGCAAACCTGGTTATCAGTCGTCCTTGGAGCACCATTGGAAGAGATGGACCACACATATTAACAGTTCTCTCTCAGAGTGTATGGGGAGGGAGCAGATAGAGAACATGTGGACAAGGAGAGTGTGCTTGAACTGTAAAGGGACAGAACAAGAAATGTTATTAACCATGTCTGGAACAGCTTCCATGTTGAAGTCATAACAAGGAGATTGAATGAGGAAGCTAATTTACTCTGCAAAGACCAAAAATGTCAGCAGCTAGTTGAGAGAAGGAGATATACCGTAATAGGGGGAAAAAATATGTAGTTTAGAGTCGCTGCTCTCTGAGCTTGACTGTTTGCTTGAAAACGTTTAATTACCCCACTAGGTAACATCATCAGTCCACAGGGATTTCTCCTGGGCAATTTCCCAGGTGGGGAAATTTCCTCAGCCTGTAAATGAAAGATTGCAAAACTGTCACATGTCTGGAAAAAGCTGGGAAATATACCCCGAGGCGCCTTAGCCAGTTCATTTTCCCAAGAGCAAAAGGCTGTATAACATTTTTCTTTGACTGTATGGTCTTTCAGTGAAATTATAAACTGTTTGCTTGAAAGAACTATTAATAATGAGACCCTTATTTTAGAATTTTGTGTTGAACCTTGAGGAGAGGCACTCCGTAGAGACCTCCATAGTTTCAAAGAATTGAGAGCAGGCCTGCTGGCTACAGGCAATCCTCGACTTACAACCATTCATTTAGTGACTGACGTTACAACAGCACTGGAGAAAAAGTGACATAACCACTTTTCACATGACTGTTGCAGCATCCCCAGGGTAATATGATTAAAATTGGCAACTGAAATGCATTTATGATGGTTGCATTGTCCTGTGGACATATGGTTACCATTTGTAATCTTCCAAGACAGCTTCCGAAAAGCAAAGTGGGAAAGCGAGAATCGCTTAAAACCCACATGATTCATTTAACAACTGCAGTGGTTCGCAACAACTGTGACAAAAAAAAAAAGGTTGTAAAATGGGCCAAAAGTCACTTAATAACTGCCTTGCTTAGCAACTGAAATTTTGGGCTCAATTGTCCTGAGTGGAAGACTACCTGTATTAGAGACAACGTCTTCCTTTGAGATTCAACTGAAGTGGCTGTAGGCGACTGGAAAAATATTTGTACAATGAAGGACAGGACACACACAACAGTGGCTAATTTAAAGGCTAATCAAAGTGAACAAAGGGGAGAGTAACATAGGATGGCAACTGCTAACCAGGTTTAGAAAAAGGGTATTAAAAGAGAATTATAGAAATCTCCAAGGTTAATTCTCAAGTTTTATTGCTAGATTTACTATAGTTTATGGCTATTCCTGATTTAATGACAACAAAATGAAGGTATTCCTTCTTCCTGACCATGTAACATTATGTGATCATATGAGTCTCCATAGCACGAGTGTCAAACTCAAGGCCCACAGGCCGGATTTGGACCGTGGGTGTTTACATCTAGCCTGTGGGGCTGCCCTGGAAACAGTAAAGGACTGGCCTGCAGTTTGTCTGTCAGTGAAAATGGACCTCGGGAGGGCTGCATGCGGCCCTCTTGGGCTCCATTTTTGGCCGCAACAGCCTCCTGCTGCCCTCTGCCAGGGAAAATGGACCTGGGGAGTGTTTTTGGCCCCCTGGGCTCCTTTTTGCTAGTTTGTTTTAGGGCTAGCAAAACAACTGAAAACAAAGCAAAATGAGAATTTTTTCCCCTTTTGCATTTTATGAGAATGCAAGAAAGAAAGGAAAAGGAAAGAGGAAATACAAAGAAAAAGAACGGAAGATGGGAAGAGAGCAAGGAAGGAAAAATAAGGAAAGAGGGGAACAAAGAAGAAAGGAGAATTAAGAGGGAAGGAAAAAGAAGAAAAGAGGGAGGGAGGGAGGAGGTGGAGGAAGGAAGGAAGGAAGGAAGGAAGGAAGGAAGGAAGGAAGGAAGGAGATTATAATGAGAGTCAGGGAGGGTCTGAGGGAAGTCCTGCCTTAACACTTGGCCACCACAGGTGCCCCCAACACAAGTGATGTCGAGCTGGCCATGCCCACCTGGCCATGCCCATCCTGGCCACACCTACTCCAGCCACACACACACACACTGAGGTCAAACACAACCCTGATCCGGTCCTCAATGAAATCGAGTTTGACACCCCTGCTCCACAGTAACAAAATATTTTTGCAAGATAATATAATAGGGTTACAACCCCAGTTCTGCTATGAGCCTCTTGGAAAGTTTTCAAAAGTAGCAATAGCACTTAGACTTATATACTGGTTCACAGTGCTTTTACAGCCCTCTCTAAGTTGTTTGCAGAGTCAGCATATTACCCCCAACAATCTGGGTCCTCATTTTACTGACCTCAGAAAGATAGAAGACTGAATCAACCTTGAGCCGATGAGAGTCAAATGTCTGGCAGCCGGCAGAATTATCCTGCAATACCGCATTCTAACCACTGCACCACTCCGGCTCATTAAAAAGGGGGAAAGGAGTTATTGTATCAAAAAGTAACCCATCAAGGATTGTAAGTTTCTCCTTCCCAGTATTTTCTGCTGAAGAAGCTGTACAATTGTGACCTTGTGTGGTCAAATAGTCATACTAAGAAAGAGAGAAGAAGGAAAAGAATTCTAACTCAAGGCAACAGTACATGAAGGCTTTTTAAAAACTAAAAATAGAAAGCCAAGACAAAGCGATCGCTCTTTGCCACCCCATGACTTTTGTAAGAAATTTTCAAACCCTGCCTCCTTTCTCTTCTCCCTCTAATTTAAATCCAGCTTTCAGCTTCTGAAATAGGGTGACTTTAAAGCAGAGCACAGGGGTTGAGACGGCATTAGCATGTTTAACTTGGAGAAGACTATTCTGACAGGATAGAGTCGTGATTATGCTCTTAATACGGCTATCGTGTTGGAGAGGGCAAAATGCTCTCTTACTTGGGAGAAGGTGATGGTGGAGCACAGATTAAGCATAATCATGCAATGTGCTGCAGCTGCCCAAAAGCGTCAGTGCAATATTTGGCTGCGTCAACAGAGAGATTGATTGAGATGGTGAGAAAATTATACAGGGGTTCCATTGTATGCTGCACTGTTCCCACTGCACCTGAATATTGAGTCCAATTCTATTCTATTCTAGTTGCTACACTACAAGAAAGATGCTGAGCTATTGAAAAGTGTGCAGAGAAGAGCAACCAAGAGAGTGAGGGGCTCAGGGGCTAAATCGCATGAAGAACAGTTAAAAGAACTGGGTATGCTTAACCTACAAAAGAGACGGCTAAGGGGAAATATAATAGCACACTTCTGATACTTGAAGAGTTATCATGAGTGTGGATTTATTCTCTATATAGCTACATAGAACTAGACCAGATCAGAAAATCAAATCCATAAAAAGATGAGATCTATCATAACAGAATCTTGCAAGTCTGATTGTGCCTTTCCTTCCCTTTTTTTCTCATATTGTCTGTACTGTGGCTTCCTGACATACATACATACATACATACATACATACATACATACATACATTACACACACACACACACACACACACAATTTTTAAACAGATTTAACAAAGTTGGAAGGGACCTTGTAGGTCATCTAGTCCAACCCCATCCCCCTGCCCAATCAGGAGACCTTACACCATTTCTGACAAATGGCAATCCAGTCTCTTCTTGAAAGCCTGCAGTGATGAAGCTCCCACAACTTCTGAAGGTAACTTCTGTTCCATTGGTTGATTGTTCTCACTGTCAGAAAGTTCCTCCTCATTTCCATGTTGAATGTCTCCTTGTTCAGTTTCCATCCATTATTTCTTGTCTGGTCTTTGGGTGCCTTGGAAAATAGCTAATATTTCTCATGAAGACACTGAGATGTTTTGGGAGGGTCTATGACAATCTGCCACAGCCAACTCGCCCTGACCAAATTGCCACAGCCAACTCACCATGGCTAACTTGCTTCAGGAAAAATTGCCACAGCCCTCTCACCACAGGATAACTTGCTGCAGGACACTAATATTACACTAATATTAAAGAAATGGTGGAATAGAATCATTAAAGATAGGATGCAAAGGAGTGACAGAATAAAATGTGAATGGCAAAAAATTAAAATATTTGTTTATTTATTTTAAATAATGAAATAGAATTATTACATTGTCCTGCAGCGAGTTCTCCCATGACGAGTTGGCCATGGCAAGTTGGCCATGTTGAATTAGCTGCAACAAGTTGGCTATGGTGACTTGGCTGCAGTGAGTTGACTGTGGTAAGTTATCCCATTCCCGTTTTGGGATACCTGTTTTTCTGAGCACTTTCCACGGTTTGACATGATCAACTCAATCAAAGCCATATATATATAGTCTGGGATGGCTCCACAAGTCCCAACCAAATCATATTCAAACCAGCCACAAAGATGAAGCCCTGCCACCTGGTGGAGAAAAACCGACCATACTCCCGAAGCCAAGCAATAAACACATACTGGAACTCCCAACCAATCAGAATGAAAAGGTGGAGCCATCCCAGACTACCAGCACCAGATTTGAAATAGTAACGGCAGTTACTGCAAAAGACTCCTCACATAAGCCTGATGATGGCAGATGAGATTCTGTCGAAACGTCGCTTCTACCCTTTTAGGGATATATCCACAATTACACGGGAAGAAACCCGAAATATTAACTACACACACACACACACACACACACACACACATATAAAATCAATGAAGCATATACTGATGTTTTTGTATTCTTTGATATTTTTTTCAATGATCCAGTATGCATCAGCAATAATGTCTCATGTTCCTTGGCTTTTTCTAAAGCCAGCTTTAACAACTGCATCTCTTGTTCCATGTAGGTCTCTAATCTGCATTGGATGATCCTAAGCATTATTTTGCTGGCATGAAAAATTAAGCTCGTTGTGCAAAAGATTGCACACTCTGTTAAGTCTC